TTCACAGTTCCGTCACGCCTAATAGTCCAATGATGTTGTTGTAAGAGTTGTATGTTTATTGCTAGTTGCATGTTGCTCACGGGCAGGTCACATATGACATGGGTAATAGATCGTGGCCCTCTCGGGTGACCTCATACGCACGGGGCGTCCAAGGTGGCAATTGTCACTTTGGAGGGTGAAGGGTTATTTATACTCACCTTTGTTCCTCCTCCAACCCTAACCAACACATTTGAGCTCCTCCTTCATTGGTACTCCTCAAAAGCTTGATTATTCTCAATACTACCATCCAAATACCACCAAACTTTGGCCCAATTTACACTTTCACCAAACCAGTTCATGGTCTCCACTCTTGTTCATCGCCAAACTTGTTACTCTTGAAGATTTGGGGCTCCAAGGCGGTAGGAGTCAATTCCCGGGGCTCCAAGGTGGTTGGAGTCAAGTCCCGGGGCTCCCAGTCGGTAGGAGTCAAGTCCCGAAAGCTTCCTTGCATTGGTGTGTTTGAAATATGCCCTAGATGCAATAATATTGTACTATCTATTTCCACATTTATAATTAATAGTTTATATTCTATGCTATAACTGCTATGATAAATGTCTTATATTTTTGTATGGTTACTATCCTAAATAGCAGTAACATGGAGTGTCTTTTGGCCATAGCCAGCATCTAGTAAGTTGTTACATGCGCAAAACAATATTTCTCTAAATGTATGTGATGTTAATGCAGTCAGGAAATGAGCGTGTTGAAATTAAAATAAGCATGGGAGTTGTGCTTGCTGAGATAATGAGGTCTTTGGGCTGGAGTGCTCCTGTGTTTAGTGTAAGCTCTCGGTGCAATTAGATGTATCTTTCTAAGGTTGAAATATCGAAAGTGGAGGTTGTTGTAGTGAGACAAATCATTAGTATTTTTGGTACAAATATGGGCACCGAAGATGGTGCGTCTAAGAGTGCAGCTCTAGCTCTGTCCTGTCATTAGAGACAGATAGAGACATTTATGTGGTGGATTTGAACTACAACAGCAAGGCACACGACGGTCATTATGTGTGTGAAGTGAAAATGCCGCACAGGCTATTTCATCATTAGCGACTGACATCTTTCAAGGCTGGCATCTTATGGTGGATGGGCTACGCCAGTGAGATAGGGAGTGTCGAACGTAGCTTGCACAACATGCCATTCAAGGTCCGTGTGACTAGATGTACAATGCGAAATGAGAGTTTGCTAAGAAAGGGGCTGCACTATATGCAACGTGTATTACTGCTCTAGTTTTTGCAAGACATCGATTGAAGGTTGCTGCTACATGGATAGAAGAGGACTGGGCTGAATGCATTGCTAGGTGAACTAAGATGCAGTTTGTGTTATATATCTGCAAGTGACATAGACTGTTGCTGGATAGAAGAGGACTGAGCTGAATGCATTGCTAGGTGAACTAAGATGCAGTTTGTGTTATATATGTGTATGTGACATAGACTGTTGTTGTTTGTGCTATGAACCGGATCTGTGGTTTTTTTTTGCTAGTGACTTTCTATTACAGTCTGTATATATCTCTCTATGTTGAACAATTAATGTTACTAATCATGTAGCCTTGAGCTTAATGTATGTTATCACTTATGAAAATTGTAAGTATGCTCAATTTGCGTATTATTACCAACAGAATGGTGAATGTCTTCAAATCAAATGAAAAGAGAGCTCACGTGATTCAGAAGCTACAACCAGATATAAAACAGTTACGATTAGATATAAAACACAGGTCTTTAATTCACATATATAGTTCCAGCCAAACAGGCAGTATAATTCAAGTCTCGTAAGATCATACTACATACAATATATTCACATTGGACATTATGCTCAAGCAATTTCATACGAATAGGTTTGGGTGCATTGGTATTTGTTGTCATTGGCCACATATTACAAAATATAAATGGGGAAGAACGCAGAGGCTCTTGCTATCCAGGAAAGCAACCACATTATATGCATCACAATGTGGAATTGGAAGTATATTAATTACATTTGTGAAAATTAATGTGCTAATCAACCTAGTCAACATCAGTGTTTAGTTTCATTCACCTTTCATTGTAGTTCCTTTCCCTTTGACCTGCCAGTGCCCTTTCTCGTGGGTTGCGGCAGATAGAGTCTTGGAAAGTACATACCCAGAGGGGGTATCTGCAGTGACCTTGCTGCTTATGTAATGGAAACATATGTCAGGTTAATTATAAAGAGAAAATGTTTGTTAGACGTGGGTATATTCTTCATATGCAGTGTCAGCACCCATGTTGCTGCTTATAGAGTTCAGATGCATTTTCGATAATTTTGCTGAAAGTTAAAGAAGAATACAAAGCAGCAAGTGTTACCTTTTTTTTAGTATTGAGAGCATCTACTTCAGTACCCACTGTTTCCTTTAGGGCTCCAAGATTCATGCTCTCTTTGTAATGCCCGGTTATGTAACATATCGTAAGCTCAAATGAGCAGGCATGCAATAAATGTAATCTCATTTTTTTGAAATTTTTGAACTGTTATGATGGGCTCATACCAAATTGAAAAGATACGTCCATCAAAGTGAGACCTTGCCAAATTGAAAAGATATGTCCAAATTGAAAATAATTACCTTAGGCTTAGGGGGTCATCTTCCTGGATCTTGACGCCGCACGAGTACTTAAATAAATTACAAAAAGGAAATCGATTTGCAGAACAGAAAAACAGCATGCGCAGTATGCCCCCCTCCTCGGCGCACTTCCCCATGTTGTATGTATTCACTAGTTAGTTGTAGTTGAGTACATTATAATCATATTATTTGCATCATATAATCACATATATATAGATGATGTATCGAGACTTTATTTTCCAACTAAAATTATGTTTTTATCTTAATGCCTTTATTTTTTCATGATATACGATATATATTGTTGAAAGTACATATGTTAATATGTTAATATTCATTGTGCCTCAATCGCACTAGGGCCTCCATAATGCTAGGTCGGCCCTGGCAGGGCACTTCGGGTGAAGGTGACGGCGAGGGGCTGCCGCTACGGGATGGCGGCAATATGCCCAGCAGCCAAGGCCGATCGCCGCCGCGATCAGGGCAGATGACTACAATGATGACAACATCTCCTTGAGGCAGGCTCTGGGAAGAACCCATGGTCCTCGGTGTGGTTGGAGCTACACTAGAGAGGAGAAGGTGAGTGGCCGGAGAAGCAAGAACCAAGAACTCCTCGGGTGTGTGCTGTGAGGAACAAAGTGCTCTGGAGGAGCGTGACTGGGACTTTGCACTAGGTGGGTTGTGCATCTCGACATGGACATCGTCATCTCTCGTCATCATAGGCACTCGGAGGGCTCCGCACTACGTGTCACCACATCACATACATATTGGACTCGTATAGTATGACGGAACAAATAGGCAGCTCAGGCAGCGGCCCGTTCATCCTGCTAAACTCCTCTATTAGTTCACCGTTGACTGTAAAATTAATACATTACAATTGTTTTGTGGTAATATTGGTCAGGAACCCGTCCTTTCCCCTAGTATGTAGTAATGTGAGTGGCTGGTCTTGGCTGCCAGATAGGCTACTAGCGTGAGGTGATGTGTTAGACTAGCTTGTCGGGCATAGAGTGGCTATGTACCCCAAGCACGGTCTATCTACACTTCCCTACTCCATCTCATGTTCCTTCCCTTTTCTTCCTCTTGATTATCCAACTGCTTCATGTTCTCATATGTCTTTTCATCGACACCTTAATGGTAACATTATGTTATCAACCATCGACCTGGAACCCCACCTTGAGAAGGCATGCTATCGCACCAGTAAGGCAGTAACCAGAAGTAATGATGCAACTATGCGCAATTCTTTGTGAGCTGCAATAAGTAATAGGGCATCATGAAAACTATGAAAAATGCAATGGAAGCTTTGCAGTTCTTGCTAAACATTATAATCTAAAATGAATTTTTGAATCGACGATGACGACGACGACGACGTGTCGCATCTATTGCAAGCAACCCTTTCTCGTGGATTTAACGAAATAAATAGAATGCCGGTGCAAATATGTGTAGTTGGTAAGTAAATCCGCATCCAACCTTGAGATTCATATATGACTGAGTAAATTTATGTCCGAAACATTTTACATTTCGGGAACATGGCAAGTTCTGCTGGGACAAATACATGGATTAATCAAAATGGAGCATTTGTAGCCTGATTGTGGCATTTTGCCCAACAAAATTTCGGTGTGCAAAACGTTATGATTTTCATTCGATAGAAAATATATATTTTCATCGCGTAAGCTTATCACATGAAATGCATAAGTCTGAACAAATATTGTCTTTCGAAGGTAAAAATGTTTCCAGCTTTCCATGACTTTCCACAGCATACCCTCGGGACAACACAGCAGTATAAATAAATATGCAGCAGTTGGGTCCCTGGAGAGGAGCGGTATACAAATTCCACACGAGACGAGGGGAGAAGCGAGAAAATCCAAGGTCGGAGGGGCAGAAAAGGCAGTTCGGAGGGGAAGAAATGGGGTTCAAGATAAAATTCAAGAACCTACTGCGCGCCGCGGGAAGCAGCCGATACGGCGGCGCCGCCACCGAGGCTGCACCGACGACGCCACCACGGGTTCCGCTCGCACCACCGCCCGCATCGCCCACCTCGCCGCCCCCGCTTCAGGCGCCACGACCCCCTCCGCGCCCCGCCGGCAAGGACACGGTGAGTTCCAGCGACCTTTTCGCCGAGATCTCATTCGTCTGGTGAAATCTGGTGCTTCTGGATGTTCTTTATGTTTCCGCGTCTGTCTTGTGCACAGTTCGCGGTGGACATGTGCTCTTGGCTGTCGCATGTCGGATCGGGCGTGGTGCCCAGTTCGTGGGGATGCTTTCTTGGCTGTAGCATCGGCCGCGGTCGTAGGTTCCTATAATAATTAGTTTAATTCTTGGATGGATTGGTTTGGTACTCGCGGGCCCTTCTGCTAGTCAGTGTTGTGCTAGTTCTTGTGCCCCATGTAGTTCTGGCGCGGTTCTTTGAATGCTTGGATGGATTGCTGCATACTCGCGGACCCTTCTGCAAGTTCTTCCTGCCTTGTGTAGTTTCTGAATTTCTTGCCGTTGCCGAGGGAAAAATGGTCGGATTTTCTAATTTACCCAAAATTGTGTCCTGCCAGTTCTTCTTGGTATAGTCGCTTGACATGGCAAGACAACCTAAGGATTTCCCTCTGTAGTTCTGGTTTTGGCTGAACATTTCTCTTGTTTCCCTGTTCACCCCATTTGTGCTGGAAAGAACATTTTACAAGTGAAGCAATGCTTTGCCATTTTGTAGGATGAAGGACCGGACGATGAGGATTGGCAGGAGGTGGCAGATGATGAGGTGAAAATTTGTGTTCACTTGCTGCTAGTTCTTCTTGCTATAATTGGTTGACTTGGCAACCTAAGGATATTTATAGCAAGAGAACCTAAGGATTTTCCTCTGTAGTCCGGACGGCATGTTCTGGTTTTGGCTGAACATTTTTCTTGTTTCCCTGTTCACCCCATTTGTGCTGGAAAGAACATTTTACAAGTGAAGTAATGCTCTGCCATTTTGTAGGATGATGGACCGGACGATGAGAATTCTCAGGAGGTGGCAGACGATGAGGTGCAAATCTGTGTTCCCTTGCTGCTAGTTCTTAGTTCAATTCCATGACTTCACTACCCAAATTTGTGTTACACTTGAGTTGTTTGTCCAATTGTTCTGAATCTGAACCTAGAGAAGGATGTCTCGTCAGTCATAACAGTGTGCGATTCCTTTTGTACTTGTTGATTGTATTCACTGGAGTCCGAATCAGTAACCACGCTTGTTTTGTGTAATATCATAGCATACTATCGGCCTTATTTGTGCTAGAATAATGGATCAGCAATTATTTAGGATGAAGTACCAGATGATGAGAAAATCTACACTTCGTTGTTCATGAGCGGTCAAAGAAAAAACCTCCCGCATGATATTCTTTGGCATGACTCAGTGTCGCTCAACTAAAATGAATATTTTTTCCCAGCGCAAAAACTGGAAGCAACTTCTGGATGGCAAGCGAACATACCTCCGACCACCAAGGGAGCACCATGTTGTCAGTGATGTTTTCAAGTGTCCGGATACTCGTAAAGCTGCATTAGGACGCCAGGTGTGAATATCGTTGCTCCTCTGTTTTTTAAGCTCACCAGTCATAAATTGCATGTTCACCACAATGCAGTGGATTCTTTTATTGTGCTGATGATCATACCACCTGACCTCCTGAACGTCCTAGCAATACACTTCAGTAGATAACTAGATATTTGAGAATTAAATCTATAACATTTCCAATGAGCTTCTTCATTATCCCAGTCTCTGTTCCTTGTCTAAGACAAATATTACTATCCTAAAATTGTCACTTTTTTTGCGGCAATAAAATGTGTCATTTTATCCTGCTATACCATCTGGGGAAGACATTGGATACTTTCTGAAATTCTTTGATATTCGTTTCTTCTTCTTCCGGAAAAATCATTTTGTTAGACGTTAGTCGTTATACTCAACGGCGGAGCCAGAGGGGGCCAGCAGGGGCCACGGCTCCCCCCAACCTGCAGAAAATGTTTGAAGACCCCTGATTAAACATGCCTAGAGCTATGTGACCTACACCATTTTAGCAAATGAAATACATGTATTGTTCACAGAAGATCCCAATCGGTGAAAACTGAGAACCATTTTGACTTTTGCTCTCATTCCCACAGCCACACTCTACAGTTCACAAACACAGACACACCAGGTGTGCTTCTTTCTAACTCGTGCAGTTTCCCTTCTGTCTCAACTACTCTATTTTTCCAAGCCAAAATCTGGGTCGAGGCTAAATCCTTTTTGTTTTGTTTTGATGAAGACACAAAAATCTTGCTAGTTCTATTCTCTTCAGTTTGTACTTTGGAGCACATCAGGAAGCGGACACACTGGTACAATATGAAAGATCTTGCATTTTGGTATCCTAATTCACAACATTCATTGGTGGATATAGTTTTGTTTCAAAGTATTGGTTGCAACATAAAAAAAAATCTAGAGATTAGTCTCTGTAGGATAGGACTCCATTTCCATTTTCATAATAAAAATGGGGCCGTGTCCTTTGATCCAAAAAAAATCTTGCCTATATCAACACTTATGGTTATAATAGTACATATTTTGCTATACTCAGTGTCAACTCCTATATATTTCGCCAGTCTTAGTCGCATTTTAGAGTTGTCCTTGATGTTCGGCCCCCCTTATGTTTATTTCCTGGCTCCGCCGTTGGTTATACTGTGCAATTACAATGGAAACTGGAACTTACTCTTCACATTCGGATGTTGATAAGGTCATAATGTGTCCTGGGACAATGATAGTTTGGGTATAGAAGTTCTTAACTTCTTCTAAGTTCTTGCTCCAGACATATTTCATCTATCTAGTCTGTTTGCACATTATGATCGATGACCCTTGTTGAAACATAGGTTTTTCCCATGAAGTCCTGAAATCATTTTTTCCACCCAATTTAGTGGATGATACGTTTCTGAAAACTATAAAAGAATCTGTTAGACTTACCGATTCTATGCCTCGTGTTTCAGCATTACTTATTTGAAATCCATTTTGAATTTAAAATCACACAAATCATTTACACCATTTTTGTGATACTGGTTTTTGCTATGGTAGAAACGACTCTCGCGTTTGGTTGAGAAACATTCAAAGAATTTCTTCAAGGAAAAGATCAAGGTTTGTTTGCATGCAACTAATGTCATGGTAGAAGGCTAGAAACATTATTTAGTTTAAATTGTGCACATCTAAACTTCCTTTTATAGATTCTCTGTCAGCATTATGCGCACTTCAGAAGAACTCGTGGAGATGGCAGCTGTTTCTACAGGGCATTCTTATTCTCCTACTTGGTAACTATCTCATTTACTTGTCTTTGATGATGTCGCTGTTTTATTTTGCACAGAAGTTTAATACCAGGAGGCTTTTAAATAGGAAAACCTTGGATTAATGCAAGATAGTCAAGCTGAAGTTACTCGTCTAATGGAACATGTGGCTATGTCCAGAGAGAATTTCTGTCGTCTGAAATGGGATAAAGCATACTTCTTAAATCCTGAAGAATACTTTTCAAGTGTTTTTTCTGTACGTATTCTCCCAGCTTACATTATCTTACTCTTCCTTTATGATCTGTAACCCCTATTTTTTGTAATACTTCTGACATTTACAGACAAACGAACTCTGCATGAGAAAATACCTGCCAAATTAACTTGCTGTCCCTTATGTGTCCTGAATTGTCCAATGCCCTCGCTGAGGCTGTATTGGCAGTTATCTTACCCAATGCTGCATCACCAGAAAATATCTTTGATAAAGAACACCACCACCACAATGTTTTCACCACATATTTATTATTTGACTGAACTACAGTGAGCCTTGCCTGAACCAATCTATTGGATATCATATGTAATATGTAAGAAGAGTATAGAGGAAACAATACTTATGAGTTCGATGGTTTTTGGCACATGTATAATGGAGTTATTGCTGCTACTAGAATAGCTGCCATAGGGTTTCATGTTTGTAAAGAATTAGCCGGCTATTTGAAACATTGAGTATGTAGACAAAACAGACTTCAGAGATCCAAATAGTACATGTGTGATATATCTTCATTTTCCATTTGACTAAAACCTCCACTTTCCGGAATGTTTTTTTTTGCCTTGATAAATGTTAAATTGGTTCATTCTGCATACAGTATGGACACTGTCTCGCAGCTTAAGTACCAATTCCTGAAATAACATCCACTACAAATAGTACTGACTGCAAAAATAGTGCAGGATTATGAGCAGTTACAACAGCATTTTGCTAAATTATAGATTTTCATTTCATGATATAGCTTAAATTATATGCCTAATAAACTGTCTTCATGTTCTTTCAGGAGTTCAGTCATTTGGTCAACTCAGTTGCGAATGGGTATGAGTTCTTAACTTGATGTTCTGTAGTGATATTCCTTGAAAGGGCATGGCAATAAATTTCAAAATCCTGTTGTTTCTTTGTTGTTACATTTGGTTTTAAAACAAGTGGTTTTAAAACAAGTGCTTTTATCTTTTGCAGTCTGAGTTCTGATGAGCTGTACAATAGAAGTATACAGGAGATCGTGCCACTCAGGAGTGAGTATACATACTTGCTGACATATTTTGTTTGTCTACTTGTTCTCTGTATAACACATTTTTTTGTTAGTTATTTCTTTGCTAAGATTGCTGGCAGAGACTGAGATCCGATCACGAGAAGACGATTTCAAATCACTTCTCCCAAAAGAAATGGATGCCCTTACGGTTAGAGTTTCCTACACCATATATTCTTGACTCAACTAATAGATTATCTGTCCTTTATGTTGTAATATTTTAATTCAATATCAACGTTGAGTATTTTCTGTGCATAAACGTGTAAACCTCAGTATTAAAATTGTGCCACTCTGGACAATTTTAATGTGAACTGAAATGAGATAATCATGACGAAATAAGTCAACCAATACAGATTACGCTCACTGTTGCATATTTTTGGTTTTGGTAGCAGTATTGCTGCAAAGAGCTGCGTCCTCTGGATGTTGAAGCTGAGGTGCTACCAATGAGGGCTCTAACATATGCGCTTGGCATTCCGTTGCATGTCGAAACTGTGGGCGAAGGTTCGAATCGCGGAATTCAAGTGGAGCGCCTTGATTTATTCCCCCGGTCGGAATCGGGGAAGGGTCCTCTTCATTTGGTACAAAGCTACTGGTCATCCATCACAACCCCTGAACCACATGAGATCGGAAGTGGCAACTTGTTATCATCTGACAGCACACCTTTGCTGACATTGTTGTGTAGGCCTAGGCACTGTGACATTCTTTATCGCAGTGAACAAAACTAAGTGTAGAAATATCACTTCCTGTAGCCTACCTGGCAAGAAAAATCCTGAATGATGGTGTAGAAATCTAGTGATACTATGGGCTTTCTTTTATTGGCATCTGCTCTCACAGTACTTGTGATTAATCTTTGAGCAAAAGCCAAAAGCTGCTTCATTGGTCTGTATATGTCCGGGGGTGTAGCTTTAAATAGGCACAAAAAACGAGGGAATATACTTTCTTGCACTGGGAATACATGGTGTGTTTTTCTTGATGTTGTCCCCAACTGCTTCTGTATTTGGTGGTATGCTAGTCGTTTTTTGTTTCTCTGAGTTATTCGCTTTTTCTAATATGATGCAAGTTTATACTCTGAGGAGTTATTCGTTTTTTCTAATATGATGCAAGTTGATATTAATTTACATCATCGGACCACAAGGGAAACTATGAACAATCCAGTGGCAGCAGCCAATATGTTGATCCAGCACTTGTCAGCTCATTCTAAAATGAGATTTTGAGTCGATGATGATGATGAGTTGCATCTGTTGCAGATTGTCTGTTTCTCCTAGGCTCAAGGATACAGTTAATTAGAAGTATTGAACCTTTTGGGACGAACTGTTAATGAATCATGAATACTGCTGAAGCTTGTAGAGTGGAAGTGGATTATGCTGGAAAGTTTTCCAGTTTGGTCATATTCGGCGAGATTGTAATCTCGAAGCACTATAATGCCCCAATAGCAACAAAAACTATTCCTTGGTTTATGAATGGTATCAGAGTCACCATTTTGATCGCGAACTGTGCTCAAACAACAATCAATGCATGTTTGTCATTTCTTCAATCTGGAAATTTGTTGTCTTTCATAGCTTTTTGAATGACAAAATTGTCATGGTGTGGATCTGTTTTCTTGAGATTTGACAATTCTTCATAGAAAATGTGGAGAAGTCATCATTTTGCTCGCAACATGTGCTCAAACAACAATCATTGCATGTTTGTCATTTCTTCAATCTGGAAATTTGTTGTCCTTCATAGCTTTTTGAATGACACAATTGTCATGGTGGGGATTTTTTTCCCCGAGATTTGACTATTCTTCATAGAAAATGTGGAGAAGTACTCTGCAAACTTAGTCGTTATGAGCAATACGTATTTAAACTTGTAAACCAATGGTTGGGTGATAAAATGGAAGCTGGCCAAAAGTCAGTCCTCGTGGATGATCATCTTGTTTCGATGAGGATATAATGGTTCAAAGTAAGCGGTAAGTACAAAAAGGTGAATAACCTCTCTTAAGCATAGATAATAAGAAATTAGGGAATAGCCAATTAGATCCAGAGATGAGATAAAGGAAGCAACCAATGGTTTCCCCTCCGGTGCCGTCGTGGGCCCCCTTCCCTGGATGGGCCACTTTCGGCAGGAGGGCGGCTGAACCTTGGAACTATGCGTGTGGTGTGTACGAAATACGATTAGAGACTCGTTTGCCACTGGTGTAGTTGGGGTGTGGCAGTGGTGGTGCGAATAAGGTTCCACCGGCTGTTCTCGAATCGATGCGTCCCTCTGAGTGACATCGAGGAGCTAGAGGCTGGTTTCCATGTCGGCAAGTCGGATTGGCGAGGTTAGGTATTGGTCTTGCATGTGTTTCTTAACGATGTTGTCCTGCGAAGGGTGGTGGTGAAGTGACGAGTTTAGTCATCGGCTATGTCTCCGACCAATAAAGCCCGGCCAGTTTTGGCTTCGTCGCGGTGCTAGTGAGGTATTTGCCCCTAGCTTTGTCTGGCTAGATCTAGGGTGTTTTTTTTGACCCTGTTCGTCGCTTTCTTCTCCGTTGCGGCGGTGTGTTCGCTAAACCGTGGTCACCGACGTCTTCTATCTTACACCGATGCCTTCCTGGCTACTTCAACAATGTGTTCATGGCTCCGATGGTGATCCTTCCGAGGATCCACTCCACCTGCTGAGTGGACTGATCACAAGAGTTCGGGCCGTGAAATTCAATGAAGTGATCCATATGTTGATTCAACAAGCCAAGCATATTCAAAGTTTCTTGAATAACCTACATGGAGGGTCATATTGCAGATTTCCTATATGTATATGTTTCCCAACAACACCAAATAAGAGAGTAAAATACAAATCTGCTTTGTTAGTTATGTAATGGAGGGTCTAACTCCAACATCTTCTTTGATTCATGAAGCCACTATGGTCACTACTCACGTTTTCATGATAGCAAGGTGCTCCCCTTTATTTTGTGGCAACCACTGGAATATCACAGAATGATCTAATGAGCGTCATAACTTATCCAACTTGCAGTCAATTAGACTACATGGTCTTTCTTTGCGGCATGTCTTACTATTCCATTAGCGTCTTTCACTTGATGAGTCATACATTTTTCAAAGCATTAGTATGGATGGCCATAGTTTTCGGCATGGTGTAAAGTGAAGATTGGAAGGGAGGTATAGAGCGAAATCCCTGTCCGGAGTATTCCAAAGGTGTAACCTATCTAGGCAATGAAAAAGGGGCATGTACTTCAATTAAAGGAGAGACCTGTTGGTTTACCAAACCCGAACTCAATGTCAGATGTTCCCTAGGTCTGAAGGGATCCAGTACCCAACTGCGGGAATCTCCCGGACTTGCGTATTTGGAGGTCCAGAGGCGGCATCGAGCATCACTCATGGTGCATCAGCGGGTGCAGGAGGAAGACGATGGAATTCCTCGGGTACTCGTATGTACATTTGTTTTTGGGAATGCCTAGGGCACATCTAGATGTATCCTAGTTATTGCACATCTAAGTGACTCAATTAAGCATCAAAAGGAAAAGAAAAAAAATAAAGTACCCACACGAATCTCTATGTAAGATCAGTGACATAGGACTTAGATGTGCAATACTTATGGCACATCTAGATGTGCTTTAGCAAAACTGTTTTTATTTTCTTAAAAACAATGTCTTTATCATGGTGTTTTTTTTGACATATGACCTTCAAACTTTGCGCAAAGAAAAAAAAGGAACCATCTTGCTCTCAACTATCCGATAGATTTTCTTCTTTAGATTTTTTCTATTACTGGATAGATTTTCTTAAGGGTATTACCAAGTTTTATTATTCAAAATCCACATGGAGTGGGATTACAAAAGGATCATGTGGATGGACCATCCAAACATGCCGTCCCTGATCAAGATAATTTGAAAACTTGGCTAACCTATCGTCGTCACTATTAGCTGCTCGGCCTTCAAAGGTAAAAATACAATTAAACATAGATGTACTTCTGATCTTAGTGATGATACTGCTATATGACCCATTGCTTCCATTCTGAATATCACTCACCACTTGCTTCTAATCCGATGCTACGACGAAGTCATGTACCTTCAAGTCATCTGTCAATGAGAGAGCCTCTCTCGGCATGCTATGTATTCCATCGTTGCCACATCAATTATGCCATGTTGGGACAGGACAGGTACATGATCGAGTTTTGTGTTCAAAAAAAAGTACATGGTCGAGTTGAGACAGGAGATGTGGTCTTTTTTTTTTTTGAGGATCAGACAGGAGATGTGATCGATACGTGATCGAGTTGGAACGACACCGGCCCGGCCCACATAGGCCACCCTTCGCATATCCCACCAATTTTTTGCCTCCCCAGTTCGAAAACTCCCCAGAAGCCAGCCCCGGACAGAGGGCGATGTCCTTGTCTTCCTCTCAACAACATCTCGTTGCCGTGTCCTTGATTGTCTTTGCCGTTGCCGAGAACTACTCTCGGCGTATATGTGTTTGCCGAGTGCCCGTGATTTGTCCCTCAGCTAAGAGCCAAACACTCGGTGTACGTTAAAATTCCAGTAGTATATTTGTGGTAAGGGTAAGCAACTTCATTTTTTTACGGTAGAAACTTCATATTTGAAATTGAGCTATGATGCTTTAATTAGGTCGTGGGATTACATAATTAATAGATAAAAAACGAAATCAAAAGAAAAGGTGTTCCTGTAAGGGTCGGTCACTCCTGCCAGATCTGGCTCCTGGCCAGATCTGGCTGCCGGCCGCTCCTGCCATAGGAGCTTGTTTGGGGCGGAAAGAGGGGGTCTTTGCTGCCCCTTCACTGGCTGACGATGTCGGTGTGCGGCGGCGGCGGTCGAGGGGTGGTCTCGGATGCTGGGGCGGCGGCCTCGGTGGTGGGAGACGCGATGCTCGTGGGCGGAGCTCGCGGCTCAGATGTTGGCCGGTTACCATGGTCGTGCGGGCGGCGGCGGTCGAGGGGTGGTCTCGGATGCTGGGGCGGCGGCCTCGGTGGTGGGAGACGCGATGCTCGTGGGCGGAGCTCGCGGCTCGGATGTTGGCCGGTTACCATGGTCGTGCGGGCGGCGTGGTAGCTTGGGCATGACGGTCGGTGGCGGTGGTTCTGCAGCGTGCTTGCGACACTCTGTCTCGGAGGCGAAGAGGGCTTGCCGGGTGAAAACTCTTTCTGGCTTTGCCAGGTCGGCGGCGGCGGCGCCTACGGGCGTCGTATCCTTCTTGAAGGCGTCGCCGTGGTTCCTCTTCCTCCTCCGTGTTGCTCCGAGGGAAACCTCGATCCCTGGATTAGGCGGTGGCGGTACTTAGGTGCCATGACCTTGTTGAAGGCTCCGCCTTGGAGTAATCGGTTCGTCGTGCACATCTCCGACTCTTCGCTGTGATTCGTTCACGGTTGAGGCACCCAGCGACTTCAAGCGGCGATCTCTCTTCCTTCCTATAGATGGCTTGGAGTTGTGTTGGGTGGTGTAGCTGTTCCCAACATTTTTGTATCTTGCCCTGTGTGTGTTGGTGTGGAGTTGTATGAGGTTGGTTGTAACTGGATCGTTGCTTTATATATAAAGCGGGGCGAAAGCCTTTTTCAGCAAGGGTCGGTCACATATGGCTTTCAGACTCTTTTTTTGAGCTGTATGGGGCCTTGAGAGTTTGCACAAAGAGGAAAAAGAAAAAAAAATCCTCGACATGCGTACACCACCGTGGCCCACGAATCCCATGTAGTCCATGCAGCGCGTCCTCGTAGTTTCTTGCCCTAGACGCCTCTCGATAGCTCGCTCGAAAACTCCCAACCCTCACCTACCGGGAGGAGGTGAACATCGCTGAGGAAGCGAACCACGGGCAGAGGACGGTCGAGAGAAGCTATGGATCTGATGCTGCTGCTGCCCGAGGACGTACTCCGCCTCGTGGATCCGCGCGGCCTCGCCGTATGCCGCTGCGCTTCCAAGGCCCTGCGCGCCGTCATCGACGCCCGCCGCCTGCTGTTCCCGCCCTCGGCTGGTGGCATATTCATCAACTTCCACAGCGCCAGCACCTGGCTGTCGGAGTTCTTCGCTGGTCCCTCCATCTCCGGCAGGTTCGACTACCTGCCACCTCCAGTTGGGACGCCGCAGCCCCGCGACTGGCGAAAGGTCAAGGACCACTGCAACGGCCTCCTCTTGCTTGGTGACGGCAAGGATTATCACGTGGGATTGCCTGCCGCCTCCCCCGCCCAAGCCCAATGGCTTCAGGTGGCAGGTGCACCTTTTGTTTGATCCCATGGCATCGCCTCACTACCACGTGTTTCTGATAAAGCATGCGAAATATATGGACGGCGATATCTTCGAAGACCCTGTGATGGAGCCTGATTGGCCTCCATTGGTGTACGTTTTGCACGTTTTCTCCTCGAGGTCGGGCTGCTGGGAGGAGAGATCTTTTATTCGAGACAATGGGACTGGGATGACAGACGCTATGGCGTCTACATGCACTGGAAATCAGACTTCATAATGAGCAAGCTATACTTGGATACTCTTTAAAATATCAAGTTCCTCTTTACGATTTAAAATATTTTCCATTCGCATGCATGTCTGATCATTGGCATGTTTATGTATGATACGCAATGCAGGTTGTCTTTGTCAAATTATAAGTACCAAGTAATTATTATTTTTGCGGGAAAGTACCAAGTAATTAAACGGCCTATGGATTGTGAACTAGAAATATGCCCAGAGTTTTATCTAGGACGATCAGAAAAAGGGGTGTACCTTGCATCTACTTGTACCCCGTTTCGTCTTTTGGTTTGGGTCCTACAGGAATCATGTGGCCAGATGAATTGGGTCTTGAAGCATAATAAACGCCTTCTAACTATACCGGATTATTATGGTCCTATTCTTGGCCCATGGGTCTTACAGGATATTAACTTTATTGAATCTCTCAAATTGTACAAGGAGGGCAATGAAGTTAATGTCAAAATGGAATATTTCATACAAAATAAATTGGAGCTAAACCCGGGCGAGAGAGAGCTAGTGGAAGGAAAGTTTGAACGTGACTCCGAAAATGACAACACTCTTCACCGGAAATATATGGTTGACGGTCGTGACTGTGGATACTTGGGTATAGTTGGATTTCATCCATATAAGGAGATTATATTTTTGAATGTCTCATTGTATAGAGGATTGGCCTATCATTTGGAAGATTCAAAGGTTGAGGACCTAGGCTGCTTATACCCAACAAGTTGTTATGAATCTTTGCGACATGAATGTTTCATAACGGAGTCATACCCATATATGGCATGTTTGCAGGACATCAGAAAGCAACATGGATGTAGAAGGCCATCCATGTTGGTTGGAACCCAGTTGAACATCACAACAAATGGCCTTATTCATGTTCAAGGACTTGTTCATTTTTGTTAGCACTGAATTTGTACTTATTCAATTGAATCAAGTAACCATGTTTCTCATTGCGGTTGTAAGAACATGAGACCTCACAGTGTACCATTAGAAGAAAATAATAATCATACAGAATTGTTTACTTGTTATGTTACATCCTCCACTTCTTTGTTTAATAGACTAGCTAATAATGTCCAGGTGCTTCTTCTTCCGTTTGATCTGTATCAGGACCAACATTTCACTCAGCGGCACCTTTATTTCCCCTCTTTTTTTTCTTCCGTTGTTGTTTTCCGGATCAATTCAGTGGTTGGTTTCATCATGATTTTTCGTTAGTTTTGGTTCCTGCCCTACATAACTATATTGTGGCTACTTCTTTGGAGCATAAGCTTTTCCAAAATAAATGCTCATGTATTGCGGTGGAAACAACAAGCTCCATTTCCTACTCTTTTCTGTTTTTTGGAACTTTGGTTTATTTTTGGTGCTGATTTGAGTCTGTAATGCCACTTAACTTCAACTCGGAAGTAGCTTATGCATTTGCACGTACAAATTCTTGAACTACCAAATTAAGTTGCCTGAAGCCTGCGATCTACTCTTTCGGGCTTCAGCAGCCTGAAAGCTTGTTCAAAAGCTCAAAAGAGGTGACCAATTTTGCAGCTTTTCCTCTGTGTTTTTCTTGATGTTGCCCATGGCTGCTTCTGTTTTGGGGGTAAGCATTATTTTCTTTTGCGGAAAGGGGGGTAAGCAATATATTTGGTGATATTTACAAAGACCTCAAGGAAGCTACCGAGAACTTAGTGGCAGCAGCCGTCTAACAAATCACAATAGAGTACTTGTCAGTGCAATCTAAGAGGAAATTTTGATCGGAACTATGACAATGAGTTGCATCTATTGCGCATTGTTTATCCAAGACTCCTTAAGGATAGAATTGGAAATGTAGTTGCACACTTTGAGCACGTCTAAACTGAATCCACGAGTACTGAACCTTCTGGGATCGATGGAACTGTCAGTGAATCTTTCATATTGCTGACGATTATCTTTCATTATAACCGTGCGGACTGTAATGTCGGAACACTATAAAGGCCAGGTAAAAATAACATTCCTTTGTTTCTAACCAGTATCATCACCACCACCTTTCTCGGCAAACGCTATCTCAAACAACAATCGCCGCGCCAGTCGCACACAGGCCGGTTGGCCACAGCTTCAATCTGGAAATTAACATCTAGCGCACCTGGCTTTGCCTACTCCCGTTTTGTGTTTTATAGCTTTGTATAGACAGCATAAATTTCATAGTGGACCCAAAGACCCATAATTTGAACATTTTTCAGAGAAAAAGTGGAGAAGTCTTCAAACACGCCCACAAGAATTTTTGGTATATTATTACCCCTCCAAGAAAGCTTAGTAGTGAAGTAATCTTTTTTTTGTATCATCAATTACTTTATTCCTCAAACAATTTTTGGATGATTTTGTTGTATATTATTACCCCTCCAAGAAAGCTTAGTAGTGAAGTAATCGTAGCTGTGAAGAAAACTTGGCTATGTCTTACCGACCTCACAAAGGCTGGGATCCACTCTTAAATATTCCACACAGCACAGATTCGTATCCCCCAAATCTTTGCCCTAGCCGCCTCTACTCCACAGTCCCCACCCAGCTTTTCAGCTTTCAGGCGGCGCCTTCCAGCGAGATGGATCTGACACAGGTGCTGCCGGAGGAATTGCTCGCCGACGTGCTCCGCCGCGTCGCGCCGCGCGGCCTCGCCGCGTGCCGCTGCGCCTGCAAGGCCCTGCTGGGCATCATCGACGCACGTCGCCTGCTGCGCACAGACCTCCTTCCGCACTCCGTCGCCGGCATCTTCATCAACTTCCACAGCGAAGGTTTGCTGGAGTTCTTCGCCCGTCCCTCAACAGGCCCCACGATCTCCGGAAGGTTCGACTACCTGCCCCCACACATTGGGGACTCCCAGTATCGTGGTAAAATCGAGGATCATTGCAATGGCCTTCTCTTACTCGAAGATTATTTCGAGAATTATTATGTGGTTAACCCGGCAACGAGACAGTGGAATTCTTTGCCGCCGCACCCTTCCATGTCCAAGTCTGGGGAGATCGATGCTGACTTCACATACCAAGAGTACCTCATCTTTGATCCCACGGTATCACCCCACTATCAGGTATTTGTGATCCCAAATCCTACGGGCAAATGGAAGCCCGAGGATTTTGGCTACAACAGAGCATTGGATGAATTAGACACTGTTATGGAGGAATCTGAATGGCCACCATCTGTTTGTGCCCTGCACGTTTTCTCCTCGAGCTCGGGCCGTTGGGAGGAGAGGTCTTTTATTCGAGATGGGAAGGCTGCAGAAACCATCGCTGATATGCGGCGGCATTTCGACAAGCACTATGCTGTCTACTGCCGGGGTGCACTTTACATGCACTGCATAACTGATTTCATAATGAGGTACCTACCCACTCTCTTTAAACATTAGATTTTTCTATATCAGTACCTTAATGATTAAAATACCTACCACTTATATGATTTATTAGCATGTTTATTAACAATTTCTTGTGCAGGTTCTCTTTGTCAAATGATAAGTGCCAAGTAATTAAACCACCGATACATGGTGAACTGGGGGAGTGCCCAAAGCTCCATCTTGGACAATCTGAAAAAGGGGTCTACCTTGCATCTATTTGTGAAATGTCTCGTCTTCTGGTTTGGGTCCTTGACGAATCGTGTGGTCAGACGAATTGGGTCTTGAAGCATAACAGTTGCATTCCACCCATACTGGATTATGATCGTCCTATTCTTGGCCCATGGGTCTTACAAGATATTAACTATGAGTATCTCAAAGAGAGAAAGGACCACACTGATACGGAAGACATGAAATATCTAAAAGAGAAGAAACTACAGTTGAACTCCAGTAAGGAAGAGCTAGTGGAAGAAAAAATTGAATGGGACTCTCAAAATGACAACATCCTTCATAAGGAAGATGTGGTTGATGCTCATGGCAATGGATACTTCGATATCCTTGGGTTCCATCCATATAAAGAGATTGTCTTTCTGGATGTATCAATGTACAGAGGATTGGCCTATCATTTGAAAGATTCAAAGGTTCAGGACCTTGGCTACTTATACCCAACAACTTCTCATTTAGCAGTGCTGAACGAGTATTTCATAACCGAGTCATTCCCATACACACCCTGTTGGACAGGACACCAGTAAGCAACAATAATGTAGAAGTGCATCTTAGAGACTGGTATGCTGGCTGGAACCCAATTGAACATCCCAATAAATGGCCTAATCATGTTTAAGGAATGTTCATTTTTATTTAGCATTGGATATGTAATTATCCAATAAGTGTCCATATTTTTCATTTCGGTTCTAAGAAACATGTGATGTAACAGTGTATCATTAGAAAAATGGAATAAATAAATATCAAATATAGTTATTTATATGTTCTGTCGCTGTAATATGTCCATCATTGGTTTGTTTAACAACGCCAATGCGTTCCTTCTTATGTATTATCTACATTCCAAACCAATGTTTAACTCAGTGGTATCATTTTTCTTTTCTTTTGGTTTTGTTGTTGTTTTCCACTGATAGAAAAAGGGCCTGTAGTCCCGATTCGTAAGGGCCTTTTGTCCCGGTTCTGGAACCGGGACTAAAGGGTCGGTACTAATGCCCTGTCCCTTTAGTCCCGGTTCAATCCAGAACCGGGACAGATGGGCCTTCACGTGGCCTGTGCGCGGAGCCTAGGCAGGAGACCCTTTGGTCCCGGTTGGTGGCACCAACCGGGACCAATAGGCATCCACGCGTCAGCATTTCTGTGGCTGCGTTTTTTTTTTGAAAGGGAGGGGGGGTTGGGGGTTTTGGGGGTTTTGGGGGGGTTAATTTAGGTGTTTCATATATTGTGTTAGCTAGCTATAATTAATAGAGAGAAGTGTCCTCTCTTATGTCCGTGCTTGGTCGACGCTACGTACTATACATACGTATAGAGAGGACTAGACACGCTAGCTAGCTAGTAAGCAAACGAAGGAAACAGAAGATCGTCATGAACATATATGCATACAGAGAGAAGTGATATCGACCACCTCTCCTTCTCCGAGAGATTGGTCGAACAACAAGTTCTCGTATATCTATCCGACACTACCGGCTACATATATACAATAGTTATCTCTTACAAATATAATCATACGGACTCATGGTCCACATAGTATTCTCCGTCTTCAGCGATCACGTGGTCAAGAAAGAATGCTGCCAATTCCTCTTGAATTGCTCGCATGCGAGCAGGTGCTAGGAGTTCATCCCGCTTCCGAAACATCTAATTTGAAGAAGGGGGTCAATACATATATATATATATGAATGAATGAAACTCAACACAAATGATGGTAATAAAATAAAATTGTGAATGTTATTATTTACGTACTTCATATTGTTCGTCAGAGTACCCGCCCCGCTCACAGGTCGTGTGGCGGATGGACTCGCAGACGTAATATCCACAGAAATCATTCCCTTGTTCCTGCCACAACCACTTTAGAAGAAATAGAGGTCAATCAAACTAATAAGCAAGAATGCTAAATGGTATTGATGAAACTAGCGCTTGAATCACTAGGAGATGCGTGGAACATGCTACTATAGTACTTACTTTCGGGTGTCTAAATTCCAGCTCCTTCGGCAGTCCCGGAACTTTTCTGGTGAATTTTCTCCAAACCCTGCCGGACAAAGAAAACAATCACTTGATATCAGGAAATGAACAAAGTTGCTGATATGGTGGATAATGATCGATTTAATTTACTTCTTGAGGATTTCAGTCATGTCCGCATACTCCTGGGGATCTTTTCGTTTAGAGTCCAAGACAGTTACTGTTGGGGAACGTAGCAGAAATTCAAAATTTTCCTACGTGCCACCAAGATCAATCTATGAAGAAACTAGCAACGAGGGGAAGGAGAGTGCATCTACATACCCTTGTAGATCGCTAAGAGGAAGCGTTCAAGAGAACGGGGTTGAAGGAGTCGTACTCGTCGTGATCCAAATCATCGGAGATCCTAGTGCCGAACGGACGGCACCTCCGCGTTCAACACACGTACAGCCCGGTGACGTCTCCCATGCCTTGATCCAGCAAGGAGAGAGGGAGAGGTAGAGGAAGACTCCATCCAGCAGCAGCACAACGGCGTGGTGGTGGTGGAGGAGCGTGGTGATCCAGCAGGGCTTCGCCAAGCACTACGAGAGACGAGGGGAAAGAGAGGTAGGGCTGCACCAACAGGGAGAGGAACTCGTGTGTTGTGGGCAGCCAAACCTCAAGTATATATAGGGGAAGGGGAGGGGCTGCGCCCCCACCTAGGGTTCCCTCCCTAGGGGTGGCGGCAGCCTCCTAGATCCCATCTAGAGGCGGCCAAGGGGAGGGGAGAGGGGGAGGCGCACCAGGGTGGGCCTTAGGGCCCATCTGCCCTAGGGTTTGCCCCCTTCTCCTTTCCCTTGCGCCTGGGCCCTTGGGGGGGGGGGGGGGGGCGCACCAGCCCACCTGGGGCTGGTCCCCTCCCACACTTGGTGGACCCCCGGGACCCTCCTGGTGGTCCCGGTACGTTACCGATAAAACCCGAAACTTTCCCGGTGACCAAAACAGGACTTCCCATATATAAATCTTTACCTCCGGACCATTCCGGAACTCCTCATGACGTCCGGGATCTCATCCAGGACTCTGAACAACATTCGGTAACCACATACAAACTTCCTTTAGAACCCTAGCGTCATCGAACCTTAAGTGTGTAGACCCTACGGGTTCGGGAGACATGCAGACATGACCGAGATGACTCTCCGGTCAATAACCAACAATGGGATCTGGATACCCATGTTGGCTCCCACATGTTCCACAATGATCTCGTCAGATGAACCACGATGTCAAGGACTTAATCAATCCCGTATACAGTTCCCTTTGTCTATCGGTACGATACTTGCCCGAGATTCGATCGTCGGTATCCCGATACCTTGTTCAATCTCGTTACCGGCAAGTCTCTTTACTCGTTCCGTAATACATCATCCCATGATCAACTCCTTGATCACATTGTGCACATTATGATGATGTCCTACCGAGTGGGCCCAGAGATACCTATCCGTTTACACGGAGTGACAAATTCCAGTCTCGATTCGTGCCAACCCAAAAGACACTTTCGGAGATACCTGTAGTGTACCTTTATAGCCACCCAGTTACGTTGTGACGTTTGGCACACCCAAAGCACTCCTACGGTATCCGGGAGTTGCACAATCTCATGGTCTAAGGAAATGATACTTGACATTAGAAAAGCTTTAGCATACGAACTACATGATCTTGTGCTAGGCTTAGGATTGGGTCTTGTCCATCACATCATTCTCCGAATGATGTGATCCCGTTATCAATGACATCCAATGTCCATGGTCAGGAAACCATAACCATCTATTGATCAATGAGCTAGTCAACTAGAGGCTTACTAGGGACATGGTGTTGTCTATGTATCCACACATGTATCTGAGTTTCCTATCAATAAAATTCTAGCATGGATAATAAACGATTATCATGAACAAGGAAATATAATAATAATCAATTTATTATTGCCTCTAGGGCATATTTCCAACAGTCTCCCACTTGCACTAGAGTCAATAATCCAGTTCACATCGATATGTGATTAACACTCAAGGTCACATCCCCATGTGACTAACACCCAAAGAGTTTACTAGAGTCAATAATCTAGTTCACATTACCATGTGATTAACACTCGATGAGTTCTGGGTTTGATCATGTTATGCTTGTGAGAGATGTTATAGTCAACGGGTCTGAATCTTTCAGATCCGTGTGTGCTTTACAAATCTCTATGTCATCTCCTAGATGCAGCTACCACTTTCTATTTGGAGCTATTCCAAATAACTGTTCTACTATACGAATCCAGTTTACTACTTAGAATAATCTGGATTAGTGTCAATTTGCATCGGCGTAACCCTTTACGACGAACTCTTTTACCACCTCCATAATCGAGAAAATTCCTTAGTCCACTAGTTACTAAGGATAACTTTGACCGCTGTCCTGTGATCCATTCTTGGATCACTCTTGTACCCCTTGACTGACTCATGGCAAGGCACACTTCAGGTGCGGCACACAGCATAGCATACTGTAGAGAGCCTATGACAAAAGCATAGGGGACGACCTTCGTCCTTCCTCTTTCTTCTGCCGTGGTCGAGCTTTAAGTCTTAACTTCATACCTTACAACTCAGGCAAGAACTCCTTCTTTGACTGATCCATCTTGAACACCTTCAAGATCATGTCAAGGTATGTGCTCATTTGAAAGTACCATTAAGCGTCTTGATCTATCCTTATAGATCTTGATGCTCAATGTTCAAGTAGCTTAATCCAGGCTTTCCATTGAAAAACACTTTTCAAATAACTCTGCATGCTTTCCAGAATTCTACATCATTTCCGATCAACAATATGTTAACAACATATACTCATCAGAAATTCTATAGTGCTCCCACTCACTTCTTTGGAAATACAAGTTTCTCATAAACTTTGTATACACCCAAAACTTTGATCATCTCATCAAAGCATACATTCCAACTCCGAGATGCTTACTCCAGTCCTTAGAAGGATTGCTGGAGCTTTGCATACTTGTTAGCATCTTTCAGGATTGACAAAACCTTCTGGTTGTATCACATACAACCTTTCCTCAAAAAAAAAACATCGAGGAAACAATGTTTTGATATCCTATCTGCAAGATTTCATAAATAATGCAGTAATCGCTAATATAATTCCAACAGACTCTTAGCATCGCTACGAGTGAGAAAGTCTCATCGTAGTCAACTCCTTGAACTTGTCGGAAAACATCTTAACGACAAGTCGAGCTTTCTTAATGGTGATACTTACTATCATTGTCCGTCTTCCTTTTAAAATCCATATGTACCTAACAGCCTTACGACCATCAAGTAGCTCTTCCAAAGTCTACACTTTGTTTTCATATATGGATCCTCTCTCGGATTATATGGCTTCGAGCCATTTTGGAATCCAGGCCCACCATCGCTTCTCCATAGCTCGTAGGTTCATTGTTGTCTAGCAACATGACTTCCAAGACAGGATTACGTACCACTCTGAAGTAGTACACATTCTTGTCATCCCACGAGGTTTGATAGTGACTTGATCTGAAGTTTCATGATCACTATCATAAGCTTCCACTTCAATTGGTGTAGACGCCACAGAAACA